TTTGTTAGTGAGTTATCGCGTATTAAATAAAAAAAAGCATTTTGACTTTAATTATATTATACTTATAACTCCGTTAAAAATAGCGATTTAAAAAACAGATTCTTAAAGCAGAAATTTTGCTCTATGGAACGTATAACTATCAAATTTTTTTTTTAATTTTTAAAAACCGTGTAGATATTTTGTATTAATAATAATACAAAAAACAGACATTTTATACTTAATGACCAAATAATTTTCTGCACAAACTACTTAATAAGTAAAAAATAGCGAAACTTTCTTAATGATTATCTCCGGCGAATGCAAAATTAGAATGATATCTTCAGATGAGTTCACTATCGCGGAGTTTAAGAATTCGGTGAATTTATGTATCAGTGCCTTTTAGAAACTTCAAGAAAGTGTCGCGAAAGTCATGACGCAGCGAAGAAAAGCGGTGAATGAAAAATGATATCTTAGAAAAGTTTCGTTTCTCATATATGTAGGAAGTTTCCTGTATGAACATATGTGTTCTGAATATTTATATAATCTAGCGGATAACTCTATTTCCTGTGACGTGATATTTGGCAAAAGGTACGGAATGTTTCAAATAACTCGCGTATGCTTCCTTCGCAGGAATAATAATATAAGAATTTCCGGTTGATTTACTGAAGTTTAGTTCATAAAAGTCACTTTATTTTCAGTTACTCATAACCTAAGAATCGGTTCAAATAATTCTGCATTCCGATATCTATAGTTAAAAGAATTTCCGTCGAATCCGGATATATATATACTACGCCTTATATATTATATATTACATTTCAACGTTCTCCTTGATCGACCACATATCAGATTGCTAAGAAAATACGAGAACTTCATATCTAATAAGGTATTTTCTCCCGTGAGAAAAAAGAAACTTCACTTTTACGACGGAACGATGATTTCGCACGACAGATCTCTGCGATTACTACATTACATAAAACAAGAATACTTAGGATTAAAGAAATTAATTGGAAATTTAATTAAACAGTGAAAATATACGATATTTATCTTGAATACACGGAAACGTACAAACGATAAATGAGTCTATAGTTTTTTTTTATCATTCTCAATATCTTTCTCAATATTTTTCATGGAAAAATATTGCTTTTAAAATTTTCAATAAAAATAATGTAAAAAGGAACTCTTAAGTCAGGAATTTTTATGAGATTCGACGTGGAGATATTCAATTTATGTGGAAAGTTTCGGGTTTATGTGGAGAGTTTATACGTTACTTATATGAGCCTTGAGCTTTTAATTGTGAACTTTAAACTTCTCAAATACAAATCTCCCGATATCCTCGTTAATGATGCGCTAATAAGGGTCCTTGATTGAGCCTAGTGAAAGCCAACGTCTATGCGGGAACACGTTCTATCGCGTGATTTGAGGATTCGTCACGTACTCGATATTAACCGCTAGTTAATGGATTTTGTGATCTCTGAAGTCGGATAAAATGGACGACTCTGCACAATGCGGTTAATACAATTCCACCGGGTCTTCGATTAATTGCAATTTACAGCGATCTTATATCGGTATTCGATTACGCGCCCAAATATTTCAAGTCATTAAATAAAACCTGATAAAAGCAACACTTTCGTAAAAGATTCACATAAACAATATGCATCAAGCTTTATTACGTTTATTACGTTTTTTCTTGTTTGTGTGCTTTTTCTTTATTTTTCGACAACGTAAATTTAATAAAATCCTTGGGTAAAGTATATATTGCGAATCTTTAATCCTAAAATGCTACTGTGGAAGAATTTTCATCCAAGTTTCTAAGTTTAGTTACAGTTTCTGTTATTAAAATTTTGATAACTTAAAATAACGTTCAATAAAATTTAATATTAATGTTTATTTTTTATAATAAAATAATGAGAATTAAAATAGACATAAAAAAGTGTAAACAAAATTTTAATTATATGGATAAATTTTTATCTAGAGTAATGTTAATATAAAAAAATTAATGAGCATTACAAAATATAAAAATATATTAAAATAATGAAAAATAAGCGATGCGCAAGTAAATATATTTGCAATGCAGAAGGCTCGAGATAGTTTGAAGGTTTGGAATTAATTAAGAAGGAATAGTTTTATAGCACAAATTGCTGAATTAAAAGTTTTTAGAGTTTTAAAATTAAAACTTTCTAATAATAATTTTAGAATCTTTAAACATTATAATTTATGCAATTTGCTTTATAGAATATAAATACATTAAAAAAGATATTTATTAAAAAACAGAAGTGTTTCGTAATATTTTTGATAACTCTTAATATTTATTAATATGTATAAATACTGTTAGTGTCGGACGAATGCAATAGTTGCTTTCCATTTACACACAAGTGAAACTGAGTCTGAAGTGACTTGAGTATTTCATGCTCAGATTAATAACGTCACTACTTGTTTACTTTGATAAAAAGTTATTACATGACAAAACAGGTTTATAACCTCACTTTTAAAATAAATTTATGAGATTCAGTAAAGCACACGGTCTCTATCTTGTGCAGATTGTAGGTAAAAACTTAGTTAAATCTCATTTGTCAGAATGTAAAAGGATGGTGCATTCAACTGAATTATATCATAAGTGAGAATTAACTGAGAATTGTTGTAAATGGAAAGTAACTAATATATTGGGATTTGACCAAAGTTTTAATGGCATGGCATTAATGCTGACCGCGAAAAGCTAAAGTTTTATTATTGAATCATATCGTTATTTCATGATATTACGTTTTAACGACATCCGGTACAAGGCATCGAGATAAATAGTTGAATAAAATGTCACTGTTTGTTGCATGATTCATGAACTTAATATATCTTTGAGATCCATAAATCGAGAACATCAACGTCAACGCGAAAAACGAGTAAGAATGGAGCAAACAGTGTCTGGCAATGCATATTAAATAGGTAATACTTTATGATACTGTCAGTTCACAGAAATTGTCAGTTTTCTCTTGTGACCAACAATGTGGTCAACATAAATTTATTCTTTGCCATAAAGGCCAATTTTGCTAAACAAGCGATAGTTTATCGCTTTTATTTTGTCATATATAAGCATTATCTGCCTATTAATTTGTCATATCAGATCGTTACATAGAAATGTCGATTTTACATAAAAAAAATTATCTAAAGTGTTAGACACAATCTGTCTTTTTCGGTAATTATTACAAATATCTATTGTATCTACATGAAAATGTTTCTTTTTAGTCAATAATACTACTTGCTATTTACTTATGTCTTTTAAAGAATAAATAGAATTATTTACTAGAGAGATTTTTTATCTTTTTAATTATAGCTTCATTATATTTTTATGTAAATAAATTCTTTTCATTATTTTACAAAAATATTCAGATCTTGAGATCACAAAAATTGAGATTTTGCAACATACATTTCATATTTTAGCCTTATAATATATATATATATACTATAGTATATGTGTGTGTAAATATATATATACATATAAAATATAAAATATAAAATATATTATACAATATTTACTTTCTAATAATTTTACGTTATATCTGTGCTAATTTTACGTTTTTATAGAAATAAAATAGAATCAGTTTCTAATATTGTTACAAAAATTCTATCGATTAATCAAATTGTAAACATAAAGACAGAAATAAAAATGACAACTTCAAAAGATTCGTGTCCTTCATAAAATAATGATCTCATAATTACAATATTTATATTGTAAACTAATTTTATGACGTACTCAACCGTAAAATAATAAAATAATATTAGTGTGTCATTTTATTTACTGTGACTGGAAAAATTGCAAACACTGAAGCATTTTTTGCAAAATGTAAGAGAATTATGATATTCTAATACAACATGTTGCGTGTAATAAACAAATGCGAGGGAAAATATTTTTTTTTCATTTTAAATCCAACATTTCGTATGCAACGACCCAACATAAAAGCGTGAATTACATAGACGTGCTCTATGGTTGGCAAGCGTAAAAGAATGTAAAAAACATGCGCAGTGTCCTCGGACACAAATAACGCTTAGCGAATCATGAAATATTTGCAGTGACAGGTAATATCATCACTTGATGCATCGCTTGTAAACACAATTAATATCGGAATTTCGTTTGGTTATCACAAGAAAAATTGTAATTCAAGGTTTTTATCTTTCATGTAGGATACTATTTTTAATTACTTTTTATTGCAACTAAACATTATTCATATACCTACTAAAAAAAATTTGCTCAACTTTAAATTGTACACATACACCTAGGGTTCTCTATTTAGCGTCTTTCATATCATGAGAACAATTTTAACAGAAAATAAATTTTAACAGAAAATTTATTTATTAAATTCACCAAAGCGAAAATTGTAACGCGAGTTGTGTTCTGTTTTGTAATTAGTAATTGGAACTCTCTGCATAAATTATAATCATGACAATTGAATCTCTGATTTGCCCTATTCTTATGTCTTTTCACTTATGCGTGCTCGTTATGATTCATTTACAATTATATCTGTGCTAGTTTTTAACAAAGAATCTAATATTACTCTGAAGCTTTACTTTTATGTACCTACATGGCACTTTTCTATTTGAAAATTGTGGACATTTCACGTCTTTTGTATATCAGTGAAGGTAATTAATGATCCCAGAGAGAAGTGCATAAAACAACGTTACGCAAGCAATTATTTTGTAGACCTTTTGTAGTTTTATTTCCGTGTAAAAATAAAGTTTTTAAACTGCCTCTCTCAAAATAATGACATAGGAGAATAACAAACAAATTATACACCACACAATCGCTCTTTCCAATGCCAGTCTTCTCCCAGCCAGGAATGATTGGTCGATCGACATCGAATAAACGTCGATCGACGTTGAATCAACATCGATTCGACATCGATCGAGGATAAATCATCATCAATTCGACGTTGATCGATTAATTATTTCTAGCTTGGTTCTTTCCAATTTTTATGAACTTATACACATGATATAATAATCGATTTATATAAGATAAAATATTTTTTTGCTTCCAGGATTGCCTAATGAATTAAGCGTATTTTGGCAGCAATATCCATGGACACTTGGAGTGGGTTTGTGCAAAATACGAGCGTACGTTTCAGAAATGTAAGTTCAGACAGATATAAAAAACTATCAACTAAAAATAAAATTAAAAAACAGATTGAGGCAAATTTAATCAGAAATAAATAATAATTTTCTATCCATCTATGTATAATCTAAATTATGGTTTCTAAATGCAACGTAATTGACAGTTCATAGTTTTATTATATGCAATTAAGAATAATAAAAAAGACTAAATAACAAATTTAAACAGCAAGTGCATGGACATGTTAATTTTCTTAGTTACAGAATAAATTGTATTCCAAAATAAATTGCAGACAATTGAGCTTAGAAATATATAATTGATGCAAGAGGAATGCATGTGCTAAAGTATATAACTGTACAGTAAATTACTACACGAAGTTTCAAAACCATTAGTAGTTATTCAAAGTGTTTGATTATTTTACATTTAAGTTACGTATGAGCTCTCCTATATACAACTTCAAGAAATGCATGAAGGAGGAGCACAGAAATTAATGAGATCTTGTAGGAATTACGAACATACTAAATATAAACTTATTTTGAAATAATCTTCCTCTTCAAAAACATCGTTACACATGTCCTCTATAGATATATTTTTATTTAAAAAAATTCTGTGTAAATACATATTAATAAAATTTAAAAATATTTTACGATTTGTGTTTTAGAGTTCAGTTTCAAATTTTTTAAATTATTAGCTTTATAATTTAAAAAAAATGCTTTGATAACAAGAAAATTGTAAAATATTTGAAAATTTAGATACAAAAGTGAGAGCAGAGACATGCATACACTTATTATAGAATATATTATAAAGTCATATGTTAATAACATTCTTTTTTAACCCTCAACTACAGCTATGGAAACTACATCTAGGTTATAAAATATCTAGCTGTTTCAAATATAGAACGCAAGTAGACCTTTGCTTTACGGCGACTGATAGAGGAAGATTCAAAGTTTTCTTATCTATCAATTATCGACTAATTAAAAATAGTACTAATCGTACAAATCGCACAATCGTTCAAAAATTTCGGGTCCAAATAACCGATTGCTGTATATAGTCGAAGGTTAAAGATAAGAATTTAAAAGAATTCGCATAATAACGCGACTACAAAATTAGTTGGTACGTTTTTTAAGGTCATCTTACGTGTCGGTGTTAACAATAATGGTATTCTCATTGGAGAGGTACCTGGCTATATGCCATCCCCTGCATTTGTATGCCATGAGCGGGCTGAAACGACCTGTACGATTCATCTTAGGTGCTTGGCTACTGGCTCTCATCTTCGCTCTACCCTTCGCTGCTTATACCACCGTTAATTACATCGAGTACCCGCCAAGTGAGTACTTTTTGTGTTAATAACTTATCTATTATTTAGTCGAGTGCCAGCGATATAAGTACCGTAAATAAAAGTTTTAAGATTTTTCACAATAATTGATATAAGTACTTCCGAGAGTACGAGGTATATAAAAGAAAATTATAGGTCTGAAAGAATTTGTGATAGTTTCTGTTTTTCTTTATGATTTTGTGTATGCGCGAAGTATAAAAGAGAATTACAAAAAGAGTTTATAATAGTTTCAATTTCTGTATATATAATATATCTATTTATATACGTAAAATATATAATTATATATTTTTATAATTTTATAAGCGTAAAATATAAAAAGCATTTAAAAAATCTATAAAATGATAAATAAAACTTTCTATTCTTTGAATTCTGAGAAATTGAAGATCGTTTAAAATAGATCCAAAATGATCTGGTTATATGAGTTAGACGGCTCGTGCACCTCGGAATTGTCAAATTAATTTGTACTCACAAATGCCAGCCTCTGAAAGAGAATTATAAACCAAAAACTTTTATGGATATATTAATCCTTATATTTGCATATTTCTTTAAAATAGTAAGAGCACTTGGTTAAATAATAGTCTAGTTAATAATAATCTCTTGTTCTATTTTTTTAAATTTATAACCGTACAAATACTTTCTAAAAATTGAAGTACATATAATACAATATGTTAAAGTATATATAACACTCACCTCTAATAATTTTTATATATTAAAAGGTGATAAAAGTTAATTCAAACACGAACGACCCATCATGTGTAGCAATAAAGAAACGGAAAATCATCGTGTGTATTAAAGGTAAAATGGAGAAGTTAGATAGACACAGAATAATATTGCAATTCTGCTTTAATTGTCTGTTTTGATCTTCCTTCGTTAATTGTGCTCCCCTCCAACTTCGAGTCTCTTTTCGCAATTTTCCAGTAATTCTTCTTCTTTGATCCTTTCTCTTTAATTCCTTTTTTATTAAAGAAACAATTACTTCGTTAAGTCTTCTTTCATCTTCATCTCATCTTCCTTTGTCTTCCTTTTTTCATCTGTATTTTTACTTGATCCATTCTTCTCACTTGAGTCTCCTTGTTGATTTTTCTTTTCATCTTTCTAAATACCTGCATTCTAATGTTATAATCTACCATTTACAATCCACTTTCTTCAATCCTTTGAACTTTCTTCATTCACTTTCTTTTTCAATCTCCCTTTTCTTTTTCTTCCTATTTCCCCGCAATCCTTTCACTCTGTCCGGTCTTTGTTTTTCAATCTTTTCCAATTCATCTCGAATTCTATTTTTATCTCATGCTCTTTCTTCAAAGAAATCTACTGTTTTTATTAATCTTTTAAAGACAGATCATTTGAGGAAGAATACAAGAGGAATAGATGCATGAAGCGAGTATGTAGCGAGTTTGCAATCTACGTGTAATTATGGCTGGTCTATTTGCTTACCGTGAGTACACTCGCGGGGTATCGACGAGTAAACTCGTTTGTAGCAAATGCTCGTCCAATTATTCGTGCACATTTTTTATTGCTTCTCCAATTTCAGTGATCATAGATACAGTGAAGTAAATAATTAACTAAGAGTGACTTTTTCAATAGGAACATTTTTAATATAAGCGTGTTTGAACGTGTAAAAAATGAGAGCGTGAAGAAAAATTACAAGAAATATCCTATAAACGGAAAGAAGGAAAGGAAGAATTCTGGAAGAATTAAAATATAAATAATAAATCGAAATTAAATATGTCATTCATTTAAATTGTAATAAAACAACATATTAAAATGACACCATCGAGTTATCTCTTAATTTTGATAATCAATATCCAAATCACTTCTGCGCTGCTATAAGATTCTTTATTATTGCAAATAATGACTGAAGCTATCACGGGAGGGGGAGCTTCATAATTAAAAAAACAAAATAATTAGAACCGGTATTGTGTAAGGTAGTGAGAAAGACTTAGATAGAGTCCAATAATTTCCTTTGATCAAAAAAAGAAAGATTAATTAAAAATTAACTATAGATTATGAACATTTTGCGACAAATCAATTATTTACATAAAAAAAGAAAATAGATAGTAACAATAGAAGAAAAAGACAAGAGTTCTCGTTACAGAGAATTTGTGAGCATTTGTTTCAATCTCAAAATACTCATTACGTACTGTCGAGATTTTGATCCGTGTAAATAGGTATTGAATTATATATCAGCTATCCTATTATAGCTGTCCAAATTGCAACATATGGTGACGCGAACCACCTCTGTGGTCGCACAGAGTTATATACCATATGAACTGAATATATCATATGGATCGTTTCACCGCAGATTTACGGTGAATCAGTGCGACAATTATCTTTGGCCTCTTGATCGCAACACCACATGCATATTGCAAGTTCTACTCGATATAAATTGTAAAGAGCTGAATTTAAAAGCCAATAAAAAATTGTTTTACAATACTTTTCAAGCTCAAAATTAGAGAATGCTATTAGAATTCTTTTCCATTGCATGTATCTATCTTTTTAAATGAATTTCAATTATAGTGAATTCGATTGGAGACAACAGCACATACTGATGCCATTAAAGTCGTACATAAATCAACGTAAAAATATATGTTTAATATAAATATAAATAAATATATAAGGCTCTGTTTTGGAGAAAATCGCAAAAAAAACAAAACGTAGTTGTTTCGTTTTTGCACTGTCTCTAAAGTATTATCGTCGCTAAAATCGTACACAAAAGCAATAATAATAATTCCATTTTCAGATGAAAACTTTTTTTGTTTGTTTTTTTTTTAGTGACACTATTTTTTTGCCAACAGATTAAATGCAGCCAGATATATAGATTTTTTGGAAATTAACTTCTTTGATTATTTAGGAGACATCCACCTGCAGCAACGGATTGAAACGTAGTTTCAACTCGATGAGTGTCCAGCTCATTATGATCGGGGTGGCTAAGATACTACTTTTCCATGTCCAATCCATCGTTGTGGAAAATGTCTGTCTAGCCAAACTCGAGTAGTTCTGCCATAATGAACTAGTTCCATCAAGTTGAAACCACATTTCAATCCGTTGCTGCAGGTAGATGTCTTCTAAGATATTCTAAATAATCAAAGAAGTCAGTCTTCAAAAAATCGGTATATCTGGCTGTATATCTGTCGGGCAAAAAAATCCCACTAGACAAAAACAAACAAAAAAAGTTTTCACCTGAAAACGGAATTATTATCTATTATTGTTTTCGTGTACGATTTTAGCGACGATAATACTTTAGAGGCAGTGCAAAAACAAAGCAACTACGATTTGTCTTTTTTGTGATTTTCAAAACGAAGCAAAAACGAACATATCTCTACAGGACGTTTTTTCTTAGTTTATCAATTCCCTACACGAAGTGTAAAATTAGTCTCTATTAATATATACAAAAAGAACGACTTTACTGAAGTGTTTAAAAAATTTTAAACAAAATTTTCAGATTTAGCTAAATTTTTAGATACTTCAGCAAAATTCTGTGTTCTTTTTGTGCATATCTATTTATTGTGAGTTTCATCAAAGGCAACAGCGAATTAATGAAATTTGATCCTTTACAGAAATTAGATATAAAATATGCCATGAAAAATTCTTTGCGTTCGATTGCATCACCTTCCAGAAAATATAGACGAATCAAGAAAGAAAATTGAAATAGATTCTTAATTTTTGTGAAATATAAAAGCTTTAGACACACTATATGCAGTAGACATGATAATATCGAACAGGGTTGTTCAGAAATTCGATGAGAAACTATAGCGTCGCGTTTAACGGCGATTATACTAAGCGCGTGCAATTATATCGCACAAAGAGAAGCCTTTCATAGCACGCATCAATATTTGTTATATGAACGATAATGACGATCGGCGAAAATCGCGGTTATTGATAAATTTGCATCGCATCGCGCGAGAAATTTATCGTCCAGCCGCGGGCAACAAGTACGTAAATCTGGTAATATCGAAAAACGCTTCACACGTGTTAACGCAATCAATTTTGCAATCGTATTTTCATGATTATATAATATTCTTGTTAATAAAATAAATAAATATACACGTGACTCTATCTCGTACAAGTTGATCACTGTGTTTAAGAAACACTGCATTATATATAGCTTTTTTCCGCAAAAAGTGACAAGAACTGGAATATTTTCCGTATAAAAATGAATGTTATATATAACATATGAAACAATTCAATAATGTCAATATTCATGTCTAACAACACAATTTTATAATTTAAATGAAAATTTTCTCATTTTATCTTAATTATTTTTTAAAAACATGTCTACTTCTTATTGAAATAATTTTTAATTGAAATTCTAAGTCGCCGCCAAACTTTTTGTGTTATTTTCACACAAATATAATATAGAAAAATCTGTATTTTTTTCATAATAGTTCCATTTTGTTAAAAAATATATCCTTAATAAAATGCTGTTAAAAAAAGATAAGTTATGATGAGATCTAAAAAATATATGTCTCATATATGTTACTCTTACAGCGTCAAACGAGTAAAGAATTAATTATAATGGCAGCGATATATATCAAAACTTATCTGTACAGAATTTAATTTTTATCGTGAACTTCACTAATTTGCTGAAATATACGAGTATATCGCCAGGTGTAGTAATTTATAATCCTTGTGACCGCTTGATGTTACATCGTTAAGATTACAAGTTGCTATTATTATTACCTACAGTACATCTATGCTAATGTTACGTTTTATGTTTTATGTTTTATGTAACTATAAATAATAAATATGTATGCCTCATTTTAAACAATATAATTCGGTATAATTCAGATCAGCTTTCTATTTTCAATTTACAATTCTTATATCTTTTTTCTTTTACATACTCGTAAAAATAGGGTCGATGCGTAATTTCAGAATACTTTCGATGATGTGAGTTCTCGAAACTTCATCTACTTTTAAAAATTTCAGAGATGTTATATTGCAGGATATCCTACATTACAAATTTCTGTTTTTCCAAGACAAAACATGTCCATCTTTGAAATGGACTTTCCGTACAATCAGTACATCAATATGAATCTTTTACATTTTTGATATACTTGAATTTTTACGTCAAAATACATATCTCGTTATTATAATGCCAAAATCATTTTTAATATAAAAATGATTTTTAAAAAATGTTTTAAACAATATTAAATCTCATAGGACCGTATGTGGAAACATAATCAATAGGAAATAAATACCTTTAATGGTCTAGCTGGATCTTAAGTGCTCTTGTATATTTTAATATGTCGAGTATTTTAATATATAACTGATACGTAAATTATTTTGATATATTTCATATAAAACATCTTTTGCAAAAAAAATAAATTTATTTATTAGATCTCATTTTACATACTCATACTATCATCTCCTTCGAAATAGTGTGTGTGTGTGTGTGTGTGTGTGTGTGTGTGTGTGTGTGTGTGTGTGTGTGTGTGTGTGTGTGTGTGTGTGTGTGTGTGTGTGCCTAAATTCGAATTATCAATAAATATGAATGGATAGACTAAGAAAGACTAGAAAGAATTGATAGATTATACTGAAAATACGATCACAATCGCATGCTTCGTTAAATAAATTATTTGAATCAGACTATAACATTGTGAAATATTTCTTGTTTGTCTTCTAATTTAAATTAAGATTAAATGAATAAAAATTTTTAGTATTTTCTTGTATTGTTATTTATATTAAGCGACGTCAAGTATATAAAAAAAACAATAGGTAATAAGCATTTAACTCTAAAAGAAAATAGAAATAGAGAGAATAAAAAACCAAACGCAGACTTTAAATTCTATTTAAAAAATAATTTTTAATTATTTTTAATTTGGAAAAAAGGGGAAAAATAATGCTATTATATTTAATTAAGCATAACTACTTTTCCCTGTCATATTTATTGATATTTATTTTAATTTTTCACTATATACAGGGTGTTTTCTCTAATGTTATTGTACAATAATAAAAAGGACACAACCGGAATGAAGTGCCTCTTTCTGCAATGCTTAGTTCCGACTACCTGAAGACAAGTTCTGAGTATAATCCATCGCATGCTCATTTTTAACCCACGCCGGCTGTGTTTGTTTATATTTTAGAAACATTAAATAAAGTTTTTGAATTGCAATACTGATGTACTTTTGCGTTTTATTAGCGATTTCTCGGGGCATCTCAATTAAGAGCACAGTTTTTTGACTTTGCAATTTGCTCACTTTTACATTTCTTTAATTTAAAAAAAATAAAATTTGAATTAAATTTCACATAACATTATCTTAAAGCTTATTAAATTCCCTTCAAAATGACCTAGTATTATTTTGAATTCTGCTCATAGACTTCTAGTATTTACCCAAAATGAGCTCGATATCTCATAATAGGAGCCTTTCCTCTAATATGTACCACGCGCGTTGTATCAATCCTTCTCATCGTCCTTAAAATGTTTGTATGCATGAGAATTTAGATCTAGAAGAAATTCAAGAAAAATCTTTATATATCTTAAATATATATCTACCAATATCCTTTATTTATTATATGACTATTTATTTACTTTTTACGACCGATTGCTGCCAACCAAAGGTTGGCGAAAACAGAGGAAGTATACGTTTCACCAAGGCGGATCGGTTGTTATCGCATATCTTCATAACTACAATGTACATTCTTATCAACTTTTGACTTATTGACCAAGCTTGGTTTATAGCACATAATTATCAATAATTGTATTGTTAATAAATAAAAGTATTTTCATTCACATGAGTTTTTTATTGGTTAGAAATGAGTTCTCGTTGTATACATGTTCTTTAATTGGATGTTGGCTGAATCTAGGAACTGAATCGATTAACTAATGAGATGTATTGTCAGTAGGGAATTTTAGTAATTTTCAGTTAGCACATGACATAAGTAGAGAGAAACCTGAGAAAGGACATGATGGCCCAAAACTAAGGCACTATAATATGAATATTCGCATCCGCCATTTTTAGTCCTTTTCTCACTCTCTTGCTCCTTTCCTCAATCCCTTACTCTCTCTCCATTCCGCCGCTAAACTAAAAAGATTGAAGAGAGAACAAAGAGTGGAGAAAGGACTAAAAATGGCGGATGCGAATACTTATATTATAGTGCCTTACCAAAACCTGTAACCGCAAAATGCTGCCGCGCACTACCGCCCTCTAGAAGAAGTAGATGTTAACTACACAACAATATCCACCTTTTTGCGGTGCTCCTGATAAAAATAGATAGTTAAAATCTCTAAAATAACTAAAATCTATTAAATTAATAAAGATTTCAATTATTTATTTCCATCAGGAGCACTGCAAAAAAGTGGATATTGTTGTGTAGTATTAACATCCACTTCTTCAGAGGGCGATAGTGCGCGGCAACATTTAGCGGTTACAGGTTTTGGGTCGTCATGTCTTCTCTCAGGTTTCTCTCTGGTCATAAGTTGAGTTCAGAATAAAAAAAATAAAATAAAATAAGGAAATTTTTTGAAATTTAAAGAAGAAACTTAAAAAAAGTTTAAAAATCTGTTTTCTTTTTTAAAATATACTCCCGACTGCTGCTAGAAATTAATTACAATACAATATTCTCATTACTCTTATCCTTTTCCTTCTTACAGATTCATTTATCACATTCACACCTAATTAGCAGGGTTGGGTAGTGCCAAGTTAAAAAGCTAAAAGTTAAGTTAAAAAGTTGAAAAGTTAAATAATTTTAACTTAACTTAGTTACATTTTAG